AGAGCTAAGCAATAGCACCAAATCAAGCAATCTAAAGCTATTTAATTCCGGGAGCATGCAACCTAATGTATTTGTCAAATAACTAATTATTATCAATATAGGTTCTAAGCATCAAATAACAAACAAATCTCTAGTCTATAATGCATCTTAAGAATCAGACAATTCTAACCGGCAATTCCTGAAAAGATCTGTAGCCTACATACTAGCATGTATTTCTAAAAGTTCACATATCAGCACACATAACAAATATGGATCTTATGCATCATATTCTTTTCTTTTGAATAAATTACTTTTTGTTTAAAATATTTGTGAAGATATTCATATCCTTAGTTTGATTCTGGAATCACACGGGTGTTCATCCAATTCGCTCAAACCAGGGCTCTAATACCAACTTGTAACATTCTAATTTTCAACATAAATATTTCTTTTTTATTTAATCAAATATATTAGAGTATAATTACATTATGCGGAAAACATAATGCGAATGCACTTGTGTACGGTCGAGCCTTGCCCTTTTTACGATTCGATAAAGTACCCGAAAACATTTATAATCAACTGGGTAATCACAAAACTTATTGAGTTCCCCAAAATACCATATACCACAATATATATACATGCATACAAACAATGCCTCACGACCTTTCGTCGATCTGCCAATTGGAACACGACCTTTCGACGATCAACCAATAATATGTGTATCTTAGACTTACGGCCTACCTGCCATTTCGTCTTCAACACTCGGTTCTATAAGCTTCCGACCTGTCGTCATTTTGTCGTCAATCTATAACTTAACCATAATAAATAACAGCATTTAGTCACATAGACACTACACTTTCAACTCTACTAATACATGCACATAGAGACTATACTCTCTACTATACTAGTTCCAAATATATTAACATTAAGCTCATAAAGACTATACTATAGGTTCTACTCTATTAGCTCCTATATACTAACATACATGGATATATACTGTAGTACATAGTATAGTGAGATAACTCACCTGGACAATTATTTAGATGATTGACAACTATCCTTCTGACAATTCAACTGGCGGGTAACGCGTCTTTCAAGTATAAACCTATAATACTATAACTTATTAATATCTATGGCAATCTGGTTGAAGTTAGATTTGAAGGTTTGTATCAACCGGATACACTTCATGTATAATAAACAAGAACACAATAACTAGGCAAATAAAGAACAGAAAAATAAAGAACACAAAGAATTCACCAAATTATCTTTTACCAAGAAAGAAGTTTATTCACCAAGAAAAAGGGGTTGCCAAAAAGATGGTCACCAAGACGAATACATTAGGGTTTCACCCTAATGTTGATTATATACTAATCTATACAAGTATATCCCTTCAATCAAGAGATTGTATCTAATCTATAGTAAGAACTGATCTTTATGACAAAGATATCAGATCTGCTATCTATTCTAAACATATATATATATATATATATATATGTATATATATATATATATATATATATTTACCTAATATACAAAGGTTACATTAGATTCTATAGCTACACGCTGATGCTGATAAGGCTTGAGGCGTTGGCGTTGACCATGATGTTGGCGTTGGCGCTAGTGCTGGTGGTCAGCGTATAGAGTGTTTGACTCATCAGATCATAAGGTGTGACCTTACAATCTCCCTTATATGATGATGTCAAAACTAATCTTTGAAAATTTTCAGCTAGTGCTCCCCTAAGAGTAAGATTGAAACTTTAAATTCTTCAGCTTTAACGAATGCTTTCCCTGAGAAAGTGTATGACTCTTCCCATGTATGATTATCAGTAGTAGAAACATCATTTTTGAGTTGCGCAGACGAATAAATGATGTGTTGTTGATATCAACTATTAGTTGAGCAGTTTATCTCCCCTTTAGATTTTTCTTCTCTTCAGATCAATAACACTTAGTAGTTTCTCACATTTAGAAAGTCTATATCCCCCTTTTTGACATCAACAGCAAATATGAGACTGGACAAAGTGTTCAATGTATAAAAGTTGTGACCTAGTAAGTTTGTGATGTCTCCAGATCGTATGGGTTTGAACTATTGTTCACTGACATAGTATTGCGAGATTTCATCAGTGTGTGGTTTCATATGCTAACTCATGAATCACTTTTATTAGAAGATATGGGTAAGAGTGGTATGATGCATGTGATAAGATGTGGTGTTTTAGCTTAACCATCGACATAGATTTTTCAAGCTCTTATCAGCGTATGGTACATTACGCTGAATCATAAAGCTTTAAAGAAGAATGTATGGAGAGAATAGAGTGTTTCAAGCATGTTGAGGTGAATCATCAACAGTAATAACCCATCAGTAAGAAGTGGTTTAATCCTTGCATCATACAGTTAGTTGCAATCTAGAATCATAGATTCGCCATCAATTCGTAATGGTACCATGTTATAACTCAGTCTAGGAGGTCAAGGACATGAACAACCCTTTGTCATTTAAGGACTAGACAAGTATCTCTTATACTGATGACTATGCAATCAGGGTAATCCATTTAATTATGCTAAATGTTTCAGCAGAACATGAGACTTGATGCATATGACAAGCATGCTTCCAGGGACGGATTCAGGTAAGATAGTAAACTAAGGATAAACACCCAAGCCTTTCTATAACTTTTTATTTGTACCAGACAATCTCATTTAGAAAGTTTAGAAAATGCTAGACAATCATCGCGATGGGGTGACTCAATGTAAATCTAGCAGATGGTCTCGCTGATGAGATACTTAGAGAGATTTAGGCACATACAGCAGCATGCTTCTAGGGACGATGAATTGTCAATAGTTACATACTTGGCTTACTAAATGCCACCGTCAAATTCCTTAAGAATGGTAAAAGATAAAATAAATAATATAAGAATACAAAAAAATGAGTTAGTCCAACATGGAAATATTCTAAAGGAGATATTTGTGCAGCTTTTTCAAAAGTTATCTTCGTAGACTTTTCAGTGAAATCATAAAGATAGAAAATCTTTTTGAGTGAAATTACCAAAGAGAAATCTTTTGCAATGAATACTCATTAATCAATTTCCTTTCTTCGAGATATCCATCCTTTAGGACTGACTATAAAAGAAAATACAAGTAAGAGCAAATACATTACAATACAACTTACTACAAACCAAGAATTATAAGGTCATTAGATGATGAGATGTTGCAAATGTTGCAGATGGATTTCAAGCTTCATGTACACCAAAAGCAAGAGAGAAGCAAAAGACGGTCTTTGTAACCAACGAGTTATTTGGCTCAAATCTATGAAATCATCGTGTTGAAAAGATCAAGATGAGGGCATTCGATGTTTTATCATATTATGAGTGAGTAGATGAAAGCAAGATTCATTGCATTGATGGTTGCAGCTTGCATCCATAACAGTGATTGGAGGAGAAAGAGGGCATTATCAACAAGAAGAGGACATGATGCTAATATTCTTCTCGACAACGAGAGCATTAAAAATATTTTGGATAACTCCTGCTCTTCTAATAAGAAAAGAGACATGCCTAAAGAATAGATAATAGAAAGAAACTAGAATACTTGTAAATATTAGAAACAAAACTTCAACCAAAGTATGTAAAGTTCTAAAAGTATAATAAAAACAACCACTACAAACAAAATGTCAATTAGTGGCATACATTTTTAATGGCATATATTTGATGTGCCACTGTATCTTGTTTTTAGTGACATATTTTTTGTGCCACTATAAAAGTTAATGGATTTAGTGGCACTTAACATTTTTATGCCACTAATATTTACAATTATTAGCGACATAATGTTTTAAAATGCCACTAAAAGTGTTGTTTTATTAAAAATATATCTAGTTTTATAGTAATAAAAGTAAATTACAAAATGATCTCTAATCTTTACTGAAATTACAACTACGAACCATCTTTTGAATATTTTTTATATTTGTCCTGTTGGTCGTGTAGGAATCCTTTTGAGGTTGATGTGTTACATTAAACAAGACCATTCCAATTAAAAGCTCTTTTGTTGTATTTGAGGATATTATACATAAATTATTATATAACGATATTTAATTCAATTTAGACTTCAATCCACTTAAGTCTTTAATTTTGAGTCTGTTATCTCCGAGTCCATTATCATATATTATATAATATATTATTGGTTATTGAGTCATTAACTTTGTTCATTTTCCTCTAGGTCTACCTGCTAATACGCCCCTAAAAAGTCATCCCGCTAACAATGATAATTTGAGCGTACGATCATCACCTACCTTCATCTCAGCTAACCATCACGTCGTCGTCCTCCATTTCGTCGCTGCCGCATCACATCGTCGTTGTTGTCCATATCGCCATATCCCTACTATTGAGTGTGCGATTTATAGGAAAACACGAACCGAAAACTGATTTGCAAAGAGAAAAGGTCGATATACCCCTAAATATTTGGATTAACAATTATCATCGATTTTCCACCTTTATTAGGGTTATTCTTTCGATTATGTTATACATGATTTGTGCATTATGTGATTCAAGTTGTAATCGATGAAATTGATTCAACAAATTTTGGATTATGAATCTGAATACTACTTATTGGAGGCACTATTCGATTTCATAGCATTAAAGCTAGTAATGTTCATATCAACAAAAACAAAAACAAATTTCATAGCTCCAAAAGGAAAACTAGGGTTCATTTCAGACGACTTCGATGGAGAATTGTTAATCCAAATATTTACAAAAACAAAATGCTTCATGTTGTCATTCCCAACGATGTAAGATTCTATTTCTTCCTTTCTTCAATCAATTGAACTTTTTATATGAGGATCATGAACAATCAGACATCAATCTGCATCAAAGTATATAACTAACCAGTGCATAATTTCAATCTAACCTTACAAATTTTCTTTTTGAATGTTGATTTCCGTTTGATCAGTGCATATATTCCACTTGATCTGACCACTTTCCTTTAGTTACAACTTACATTCTGAGCAGTTGGTACTTCGATTTGCAATTCTCTTTTATCTTGCCACTATGGAACCATGGCAACATTTCAAGTGTACTGGTGATGATCTTTATTAGTTCAATATACTTTACACCTTTTATTTGACTATAGATGTCCATTCTTTCTTGCTCAAAGTATGTTGATTTATAAATTTGATAAAATCCCAATCTTCTTTAACTCATATGCTTATTCTTTTTCAAATTGTATTTAAAGAGGATTTTGGGACTGAAGGTCGTGGTGGATATTTCAGACAATACGGGTGCTTTGAATGGTGTTGTTATCGTGTCATAAAGATTCTCAATTGCAGTTATTGATATGTTTTTGCTTTGTTTATCAGAATTATCAGGGACATCCTTCAGAATCATTTACTACAGGTAATAGGAATATATTACTACTACATTAGATTTCTTATTTTTATATTTGTATAAAATAAAAAATTTAGAGTTTGTTGCAAATGCAGGTGCTTTGCCTGGTTGCAATGGAGAAGCCTTTTTCTTTAATGCCTAAACATTCTCCATTGTGTTTGACTTGATTCGTGGCATATCCATGAGTGAGAACCAACAGGTAATATATATATATATATATATATATATATATATATATATATATATATATATATATATATATAATAAACTTTGTATATTTTTTCACTTTGTTGATTGTGATATCTTTTATTTTTTATTTAAGGATTAAGAAAAATTCTGGAGAATTTCCGAAAGCATTTGAAATTGGTCTACAAACATGGAAAGGTATATTTTTATTATTTTTTAAAAACATTAACCACCAATATTTTGATTTTTTTTTGGGAAATCCTATGTTAATGAGGCATAGAAACAAATGTCATGTTTTTTGGTCACACTGTCAAAGGGTTAGATTAGATGTCTTCCACATGCAACCTGCCTACACTAAGCTACATAAAATTGTGATTAACCTATGTTCTATGGAATATGTTCATAAAAATCCTTGATCATATTTTAGGTTGGACATCTTAATAGGGTTATTTGTTGTCATACAAATTTTATAAAGATTAATTAAACTCTTCCCTTACAATTGATTTATTGGTTTATATCATGTCAATTAACATTTTGTATCTTGATGGCAGCTTTATACAAATATAGAATCTTATACACATCAAAGATGCTGGGCCTGAAAGAAGGTTAGAAACATTGCATTTTATTTTAGAGTAAATTTTCAAATACCAAAAAAAAAACAAAACTTTTATGCATTTTCACAATTTTCGTGCATGTCAAGTTGAATAGTTTATACTTTGTAATGTGTGTTTTTTTAGCATTATGCGTAGAGACAGAAGATAGACCTGGATTGCTTCTAGAAATTGTCAAGATAATGGCTAATGTCAATATTACTATGGAATCAACAAAAATTGATACTAAAGTATGTTAACTTTTTTTTTTGCCTTAATGTTGACTCTGTAAATATGTAGAAAATATATGGACCATTTAGTCATTTTCTCTACTTTGATTATGGTACAGGGGTTGATTGCCGAAGATAAATTACACTTTAGCTACAGAGGGCAACTTTAAACAGTTCTTTGTCTCAGGTAACCAAAATGGTTTCATTCGTTTTGGAGTAAAAGTAAAATTACTGTTATACCCTCTTGTAAATTATTCAAATGGGAAGGTGTTGACAAATTACCTATACTATTACCTTCGAAAATCTGAAACTAATGAAGACAGTTACTAGGGAAGCACTTCCAGTTCAACACATCTTCCATGCATGTCATCTTTAAAATTACACATAACTCCATGTGCTTGTTTTTGTACACATTTCAGAATCATGAATGTATTCTAGAAGATAACCATTTCTATAATATAAATATCATATTTTGACTAGTTTATTTTTCACAAAAGTATTTGAAAATTACATATTAGATTAATACTAATATTGTTATTTTGGAAGGCTAAGTCTATACATATTAATGATAGGAGTCTAGCAAGAATGTAGAATGTGTTTAAAAGGATATGAAGGGTTATAATGGGTTATAAAAATATTTTATTGTATTGTAGCAGACAAAAAATGCCACTAAAATATTAAAATGTGTAACCAAAAGCAGCATCAATAATTGAAACAAATAAGTATTTAGTGGCACAAAATATGTGCCACAAAAAACTATTCTTCTATTGTGACAAATAAAAAAGTGTTACTAAAAACCTAAAAATTGCAGCGGCAAAAACAATAAGTGTCACTAAAAGGTTTTAGTGGGAGCGCTTATAGTGGCATTTATTATGTGTGCTGCTGATTCTGTGAGAAACCTTTAGTGACATTTTTTTGAGTTTTTAGTGGCACTTTTTATTTGCCACTAATTGACATATTTTTTGTAGTGAACACTTGTTTCTGTGTTTTTGAGAAAGTAAGTAAAAGAGATTAGAAAATGATTAAGTCATTGAAAGCATGCCAAGATCTGTAATCAATTTGTTTAAAGTCTTCTCTTCCAACCCCTTAGTGAAAATGTCAGCCAGTTGATCAATTGATGGGATATAGAACAACTCCACTTTTCGTTTTTGAACAATGTACCTGATGAAGTGATAACGGATGTCAATGTGCTTGGTTTTGGAATGTTGCACTGGATTTTGTATCATCTAGATGGCACTGGTGTTGTCACAGAAGATAGGAGTTTTTATGAAGTTTAGACCATAATCTAAAAGCTAATTTTGAATCCATAGAATCTGAGCAAAACACCTTCCATTGGCTACATATTCAGCTTCAGCGGTAGAGCAAGCCACTGATGTCTACTTCTTGCTGGACTAGCTCAACAATCTATCTCCAAGCATTTGAGCACCTCCTAAAGTACTTTTATGATCAATGACACATCCACCATGATTGGAATCAGTGTATCCAACCAGATTGAACTTAGAATCTCGAGGATACCATAACCCAAGATTGGGTGTATGCTTTAAGAAGCGAAAAATTCTTTTTACAAGGAGAAGATGGGATTCCTTAGGACTAGCTTGATAACGAGCACACAAAACGGTAGCAAACATAATGTCAGGACGACTGACAGTAAGATAAAGCAGTGAACCTATCATTCCTCGATATAGTGTTATATTCACATCAGCTCCAGATAGATCAGTGCCAATAGACGTTGATGAATACATTAGAGTCTTTACCGGATTGCAATCAGAAAACCAAACTTCTTCAGCATATCTGCAATGTATTTAGCTTAACAAACAAAAATTCTACCATTAGTTGTATAACCAACAAACCTAAAAAAGAAAGTTAGTTCACCCATCATGCTCATCATAAACTTCTTAGCCATGATCTCAGTGAATTCTAAACTTAGTTTCTCATCAGTTGATCCGAAAATGATATGATCAACATACACTTGAGCAAGAATGATGTGAGATACTGAATGCTTGATGAACAAAGTGTTGTGAGTCTTTCCTCGTTTGTATCCAATTTCAAGAAGATAGCTTGCTAATGTCTCATACCATGCTCTAGGTGCCTGCTTTAAATCATAGACCACTTTATCAATACGATATACATGATTTGGAGACCCTTCACTTTCAAACCATGAGGTTGGTTTAGAAAGACTTCTTCTTGAAGATCTCCATGTAAATAGGCCGTCTTAACATCCATTTGATAGACATTGAAGTTCTTGAATGAATCAAAATCAAGAAACATGGAATTAGTTCAAGTCTAGCAACAAGAGCAAACGTTTCATCATAGTCTAACTCTTACACTTGACAAAAACCATGAGACACGAGTCTTGCTTTGTTGCTTATGACAATTTCATCTTCATCTGTCTTGTTTCTAAATACCCAACGAGTGCTAATGATAGTTTTTCCTTGAGGTTTGGGAACAAGACTCCACACACGGTGGCGTTCAAATTCATTCAGTTCATCCTGCATTGCCTTGATCCATTCAACTTCTTTCAAAGCCTCAACAACATTATTTAGGTCAATCATCGAGACAAGTCTCACAAACATGCAAAAGTTGCTGTTGATTATGCTACAAGTGAGAATCCCATAATTTTCATCACCAATGATTTTAGATTCAGGCTGATCTCTAGGAATTCTAGGATTAAAGCATTCATTCGTATTATTTGGAACATAATCTTCCTGATTAGATGGATCAACTTCTTTAGAGATGATAGGCTGATCTTTAGAGATAGCTTCGGAGCTGATAATTTTATCAACATTGGGAATAACAGGCTTAGTGTCATTTGGAAAGAAATTAGGAACAGAGTCTGAAGGACTGTAAGTAAGTTCATTCAGAATTGATGAAGGGTGATCAATTTGGTCATGAATAAATAAGTCTTCATCGAAAGTAACATGAGTTGTTTCCTCAACTGTTTGTCTTGTCAGATTGAAAACCCAAAAAGCTTTAGATTCACTAGAATAGCCTAGAAACACTCCTTCATCAGCTTTAGCTTCAAAGTTAGAACGCTGATCTCTTTGATTCAAAATGTAACAAATACACCCAAACATATAAAAGTAAGGGATGATCGGTTTCCTTCCCTTAAGTAGCTCATAGGCAGTTTTCACATGACGTTTAAGAATGATTGACCGGTTACAAGTATAACACGCTGTGTTGAAAGCTTCAGCCCAAATTGACAAAGGAAGACCAGCTTCAACAACCATAGTTCTTCCAGCTTCAATGAGAGTTATGTTTCTTTTTTCAGCAATGCCAGTTTGTTGAGGAGTTCTAACAATAGAGAAGTTCTGATAAATCCCTGAGATTGAGCAAAACTCTTCCAGGGAAGAGTTTCTAAACTCAGTTCCATGATCACTACGCAATTGCCTGACTTTATGATCATAAAGAACTTCCCATTGCTTAATGAGATAAATGATTTCATCATCGGCATGACTCTTCTTTCTTAAGAAGACTACCCAGGAAAATCTTGAAAATTCATCCACAATAATGAGAGGATACTTCTTCCCAGCTCTTGACTTAATCGGGACCGGTCCAAAAAGATACATGTGGAGAAGATGAAGTGGTTTGATAATAGAAGAACAAGACTTTGACTTGAAGGAAGACTTGGTTTTCTTTCCCTTTTCACATGCTGAGAAAAGCTTATCTTTAACAAATTGCATCTTAGGAATTCCTCTTACGAGCTGATTCCCCAAAATCTTTGATATGTTCTTGAAATTCAAATGAAATAACCTCTTATGCCACAGCAAATTTAGATGAGACTGAGCACGAGAAAAGAAGTAGCGGCGGAGAGAGTTGTTAGCAGAAAACGTATCCAAAACATAAATGTCAATATGTCGTTGCAGTTAGAACAATGTTAGGATTGAATCCTAGTTAGATCGAATAGATTCAAACAAGTAAATAATATGAACACGACAAATAGATCAAAATGTGCTTAATTATTATAAGACACAACCTCAGAAGAACTCGATGAAGAATTGCTACGGTAGATGCGTGTAGGGTTACAAGACTATTTCCAAAATTACAAAATACGGTGCATGTATGCACCTTAAATACTATAACCCTAATAATAAATAACGGGTGGACAGGCTCAGCCCGGTTACAAAATTGACTAAACAAATAATCACAATGACGCAACACTTATACCCAAGAATCTCCCCCTTTGCGTCAATTGAGGCGAGAGTCCTTCAAGGATGAGTTCGCTTCTGCACTTCAAAAACTTTCGTAATGACGCTCAGTAGAACCTTGCAAACTTGGATATACCATAGAATCATATCCGAAAAGCACTTCTTGTCACATTTGCTGTTACCCTTGTACTTGTTGATCATGTCCAAAACATAATCCAGGCAAGAGGTAGTGAACAGATGCTTATCAGCGAGAAAGAAGCAAGCCTTATGAAAGTCTGCATCATTTCGTTCTCTCATCTGAAATGCCACATACCATCCTTCCTTTTGTATCTTCCCAAGCTTTAACTTCTCAAAACCTTCTAGGACTTCTTTAGCAAGAACACTGGGCTTCCTTCGCAAAACAGCAGCAATTTCCACATCCATTTTCCTTACCTCTTGAATATACGAAATTAACATCTGCTTGAGGTGAGCAATAATGGGCTCATACTTCTGTCCATCTCTCAGCAATAAATTGTAAAGCATGATCCAGTCATAAGGGTTGGGGCAAGGCAGATCAGCGAGAGTGAACTCGTGGACTTGATTGGAAGAACCTCTCACAACCTTGAACTTTGCATTTAGGAATCTATCGGTTTCAATTGGACCAGTGACCTTCAAAGCAGTAATCTTTTTCGCACTCCATGTTTCGTATTGTGGCTTCATATGCTTGAGGTAGAAAGAGAAGAGTAAATGATATGTGCCGCTATCTGTAGATGGGACATTCGCTACTTTCACAAAGCTATGAAACCTGAAGGCTTTCGGAGTTCTTGGTAGGTCCAGTTGCGAATCTTGTGAATTCTGAATATCGAATGACACAACCGGTTCCAGCAAATATTGACTTGGCATATCAAATGCTTCACTCAGGATTCGCTTCAAGGTCCATACTGGAAACAAGTGCTTTCGGCTTTCCAGCGTGGCCTGAGCTTCGCGTTCAGCTTTTTCCTTCGCTTCAGCTTCACGAATTATTCTTTGATGCTCATCCATCTGAG